ATCTGTCAAATTATTTGTGCATGGACAAGCACTGCCAATTTCATCTCTTAATCCACTTGAACAAACTGTTAAATATAATCTCCATTTTTTTTAAGTCTTATATTTGCATCTACATGCAAATGCTGATGAAATCAAACATACTTAGTTTCAAACAAAGGATCTTTCTCTAGAATTTTGATTTTAGGATTTGGCAATAAGTTTCTGTCAGGCCCTCTCTTCTTTCCTGGTGAAGATTTCTTTTCCTTCTTCACTTCTGAAAGGATGTCAAATTGCAAATTGTATATTTATTGATATCAAATTGCATATTTAATTATTGATGTCAAATTGTATATTCTTCAATATAATGAACATGTACATTGGGCTAATGAAAATAAAATTGCAGGGCACAACAATACTCATTTTTTCAATAAAATTAATGTTATCAATGAATGCTACATTTTCACTTAGACTTTCTTTAATCTTTTGCACATCCATGATATTTATACATGCATATTATGGGTTATTCATTCTACACTGATGGATCCCTTTGTATTATATTCACGTAATACATGTACATTGTATGTATTTAATTTCACTCCCTTTTTTCAAGAAAATCAAAATTTTTAGTTTCAGCAAAGAAATGTTAGAAACCTTTAGGCTCTTTCTTCCTTGATCTTCCCCTAGATGATTGTTGTTTCTTCCCATTTTTACCTGAAAGTGTTACATTAATCAGTAAATACATATAATAATGTTTATTGTTGATCATGAATATATTTTTTGATAGAAAGTTATAATTTTCTCCCAGGTGTTCACTATCTGTCACTATTACCAAGTATCATACAATACATGTTTTAAATATTTGTACAAAGACTGATACCTAACAGTTATCATTCCACCTTAAATTTGAATCCATGAATTTTTTTTTTTTTTATATAGACACATGTATATTATTTCTGTAAGTTCATGTACAAATATGTATTGCAAATATCAATTCATGTACCTCCTTTCAAAGCTACTGTTATACTCTTTTTGGCTTTCCCTTTCTTTGGCTCTGGTTCATCATCTTCCATATCTTCATGCAAACAAAATATAATATTCATGCAGACTCAAAATAAAACCACTAGATAGCTCATGTTTCTTTACTTTTTAAATGTATGCATTAAATACTAAGAAACTCAAATAAACCAAAATGAAATCAAGCAAATTTCGACAACTTTCATGCAGCAACTATCGCTGATGTGTATTAGTATTGAATGATTTTTGTTAAAATACCAGAAAATGAAGAATATGAAATAGAAATGTGCATTCAATATGCCATCAAAACACAAACAGAAACCATTATCAACATAATTTGAGAGAAAAAAATCCATATAAGCAAAAAATTCATTGTAAATACATGTGTAAATCCTTCAAAACAAACAATTTTTTTTAAAACTAAAACCATAAAATACTTCAATATAGGCAATTAGGCATCATAAAACTACTTAAGCATATGTATATAAACTTCAATATATGCACCATAAAAATTACTTTAAACACACATCTGTATGCTAAGGCTAACCTTCTTCATTGCTGATTTCCTCCTCAGTATCTATTACCAGATCTTCATAAGGCTCGCCTTTCTCTTTCTTCAACGCCTTAGATAAAATCAGCTCTATCCTGGCCTTCTCTGAATCCGGCAGCTGGTAGGTTTCCCTGGCGACCCGGTCCATCCTCACGTTGGTCAGGACACACTCAATTTCAGTGTGGTCCAGAAAGTCAAACTTGTACACTTGAGTTTTTTCATCCTTATCTAACCATTGAATTTTGAAATGTTTTGTGTTCTGAAACACATTCTGTTGGGTCCTGCATAAGTAGAAACTCCCTAAAAGAAATAAAACAAAAAATAAATAAATGCTTAATTTCACTTAGGAGTGAAAGTTTCTAAATATTGTTTAAATATGTATTAAATGCTAAAACAATGCTATTGTACATATATTACAAATGCAAACTAACTAAAAGAAAATATGCTGGATATCTATAAATGCAAACAGTATGGAATTCAGACAATGAAAAACCAGGATTATAAAAGTAAATTTAATACCTGAATCTCCTCTGACAGCAAGGAAGACACCCTTTTTGTAAACAAGTTCCACTTCATTCTTGGGTGTTTTCGCTTTTACAACTGGTAAAAGTTCCTCTGTGGGAGACTGGAATCTCTGTACTGGCACCCTCTGTCTCTTCAATGGGGTCCTTGGCTCAACTTCAGCAGACTTCCTTCTCTATTTTATGATAAATATTTTATAAAAACTAATTCAAAATGTAGTTTTATATATTACTGAAAAATCACTTATAGAAAAGATTATTGGTTCAAGGGGCTTTCATTGTCTGTTATAGGGAGAGACTTTATCGTGTTATATAGGGCTGGGACGATATATCGAGATATCGATATATCGTGATACATGTGAGGATGATACGCATATCGATACATATGAAGAAATATCGAAATATCGCCCGTGAAAATCTGACTTCTATTTTTCTTTGTTTATGTAACATTTGGGGTTTAATATATAAAATAAATAAGTTAAATATAAATATAGATATGAAATAAATAATAATTAACACCATTTGAGTAAAATATTTTTGTTTTACAACATATTAACAATTATTTTGAATAAATTATTTTTCTTTGCAAAGAAATAATTTGTTTATTTCAATGCAAAAAAAGATTTTATAAGCAATTAAACATATCGTGATACATATCGTATCGTGGCTCAAATATCGTGATACGTATCGATATAGAAAAAGTTGTATCGTCCCAGCCCTAGTGTTATATAGAATTTGAACATTTCGTGGGGGGCACGAATTATTCTTGGGTCTCTTCATACCACGGAATCAATGAAAATCTAATCCCCATGAAAATTAGTTATTGCACAGCATGTTATTTTCTGTTTCATATTCACACTCATAAACCACAAAGAAATAATCTTTATACACTGAAAAACATGCATGAAATAATTCTATATATTAATACATGCAATATAATTTATATCATGTGCATAATTGGAAAAATCAGGATATGATTTTAAAAACAATTGCTGTAAGCATCACAATTAAGGCACATTATTTGTTGAAAGATCTTTCTTGCAGCAATAGGACAAACACACGATGTAATGAATTTCTTGATTGCATGTTGTAAATTGTATGAAACAACTATATGTCATATTGTACCTTTTTTGCTGAGCCTGATGTACTTGGTGCAGCATCCTTTTCATTCTGTGCCTTTTTATCCTTTTCCATCCTACACACAAGTTATCTACAAAGTAGCATGTAACATTTCATTAGTGTTTTAAAATGATATACAGGCTTGCCCCCAAGATTTGAAAAAGAAGGGGGCATTTCAAAGTAGAAGTGAAAATAACATTGGAGACATATTTACAATTTATATTGTGATGTGAAGACCACTTAACAAAACTAAAAACTCTTAAGATCCTTTGGCTTGATATCTGCTTAGAAAATATGGAAACTTCCTTACTGAATACTAGTAATCAAAATTTGATCAAAACATTGAATTTCCTACTAACCAAATATAATTCAAGTTATCGATTTCCTTTCCTGCACATATATTAGACTTTTGTTGCTTTTAATAAAATTTTCTAATACAGACTTAATATTAACAACACTTGAATTTTGGCTTCAAAAAAGTTCAAGCTAATGGAATAGTTTTGTCCTTGAATATAAAGCAAAACTGTAAAAATAAGTGGTATAAAGTGGATTGCTAAGAATGCTTTTTTTAATGAATTTGCAACAAAATAAATTAATAGGTATGATTTATTATCAACCAAATGTTCAACCATATTTTTATTCTTGAGAAAATGATATGTAGGCTACAGCCTTTTGCCTATATCAGTGTATATATCAGTATTTGGAATATACACCACTGTCTGGCCTATGTTTATTTTCTTTAATTTCTGTAGCTTTGGGATCAATGCAAGAGTTTGCTTAACCTGCTAACTATGTATTAAAATGCTAATTAATATGCCTTATCTTGCATTAATACAATTTTTGCAAGGGTAGAGTGTGAAATGGTGATTAGTTGTAAAATATATGATACATAATATGATAATCAAAAAGGCTAAGCATCAAACCAATATCAAAGACATTTATACTATTTGGTACACATGAAGATTAAAGTATTTGGCATTTCTGCACAATAGGCCTAAATGCTTACAGGCGTCACTCATTCATCTAAGGATAAGATACTGCACATAAAACCCCACGCTTTGTAATTTTTGAAACATTGGTTAAACAGTTGAGATACTTTGAAGCATTAAAGATACGTGAATACTTGATTAAATGGTTATGTTTACCTCAAACTGACACTATCACCTGGTAATTATTTTGTTAAATATGTACGTTTGTTTTCTAAACGATTTTCTTTTGAGCCGGTTTCACGACCACATGGCCGCCATCTTGCCGTCTTTTACGTTTGCCTCCCTTGTAGATGATTTTTTTATGCAATTTTCATAAAATTCGCTTATGTCCTAAAGAAAACCACATATTTAATTTTTCTTCTTTGAGTACAATACCATCATTAAAATTTCATGATTACGCTCAAAATTGCTAAAGCCTGCAAAGCTTGGTACGAACAATTAAAAAAAAAAATAATTGATGGAATAGCCGAACATAAGTCATGTGAATATTTCGCCCAGTTAATTTCGCGGGAAAATCAAATACAGAGTCTGATGACCTTGACACAGTTTAAAAAAAATATTCGATACGAAACTCAAAGGGTTGTTTTGAAATTAAATTGTTGGGATTCTGCAGTATTAGCTATGTAACAATTTATTTCTATACATTATAAGGAGTGCAAAGCTGTCTTATAGATATACAAATAAAGGCTTAAAAAATTAACTTACTTTTTAAAAATTTTTATCCTACTTTTTTAGTTTTTTCATATCAATAACCGAGAAAGTGGTAAATAAATACCCACAATAAGTGTTTGTCTTTTTGCGAATAATCAGTGAACGACTTGTCTATAACATTATTATGACGTTGTTATGGAAAATGATACTTCCGGTCAAACGTGCACGCACCGGTCAGTGATCTGTATTCTGTCAGGAACTAACAAGCAGGCAGCTGTACGGACTGGACATTCTTTTCCCCCCTTAGTTTGTTTGAAAATGGAGCTTAAGGAACGAAGGGCGCAGGCAACTTTAAAAGAAAAACTCTCTGATCATTATCGTAAACGAGAATTCAATCCATCTAAACGGGATATAAGCAGCTTGGGCGTTAATTTTTTCTGGGCAATGACATTTTCTTTATTCATCATCTCACAGTTTACTCTCATTCCCAATCTGTTCAGTGGTTGGTATATGGTTGGAATGATTGCTTTGGTTTGGTTCACAATGTTTGAGACGGCCATAAATTGGATGGGAATGTATTTTGGAAGCACAAGTTACGTGGAGAAGGAACTTAGGGCAAAACATTTTCCAGAGGCCACAGAAACTCCCATTGGATGGCAATACTGTCCGACATGTCAGGTACTGTTAAAGTTAATTCATACTACATAAATTTCTACAGTTTGTTTTACATAGTTAGTGATTGGGTTTTAATAAAGAAAAAATTGTTGCTCTCAAACAAAAACATTATTTACTTGAAAATAAATCAAGCTCAGTAACGTTTTACTTTTAAGCACGTTTTTTTAATCAGTAAAATTGATATTTTGCAGACTGGAGGCAATCCCCTCTTTAATAAGAAAGTAAAACTTGGAATAATCTAGGGGCGTCTGTGGACATGCCTTGAATTATCTTTTATTTCAAGTAAAACATATTCACACTTTAACAGTATATTATTTTTTATTAACAGGTAGATGCACCACCAAGATCTTTCCACTGTTCCTATTGCAATGCCTGTGTTTTAAAGAGAGACCATCACTGCTTCTTCAGCAACTCGTGCATAGGATTCTACAACCAAAGATTTTTCATGATTTTTATTCTATACATGGTTTGGGGGAATTTATTTGCTTTGTACCTGTTGATATCTTACCTGAATGAATTTCACCCCATAACCTCTTACTATGAGATTTTTACATTTTTTCCTTTGGTGACTATAGCTCAATTTTTACTCGGTTATCTCTCCTTCTTGAATGCAGTTGTTATCACACAAATTGTATTATGTCTTTTATGTCTGGCCGCTGCTATTTTTTTCTTATTTTTTGAAATGATGTTAATGTGCAAGGGTATGACATGTTATGAAATGCATAAAACTGGACCCATTTATGACAAGGGATTAGGTGACAACATTCGGTCTATATTTGGACCTATTAAAACTATTCCTTTGCAAATAATATGTCCTCTTTTCCCTGTTGATCAACAAAATGATGGCTCAAAATGGGAAAACACAAGACTTAAGGGTCAGTGAATACACTCTAGTTGCCTCAGCTAATGTGTTCAAACTAAAATATGGGGGTGCATAATATTTTATTGACAATCAAATTTTTTACATACATGTAATAGGTGTCATATTCTGTGTTTTGATCAAATTTTACCCTATTAAACATTATGTGTATTTTCTGTATCAAATGTGTTGAACTGTTTTACTCACAAGAATGGCAGTCTGACTAATAGTCATTGTATGAGATTGGTATGCTGTTGAATTATTTATTTAAAGAAGGTATATTTTTGATAAACTAAAACTATGTACCTGTAATAGTTTTTTTTTTCATGTGTGTATATTTAACTTGAAAAAATATCAGTATTCTTTTCTGAACAAATTCTGTTTTGACACTCAAGTTTATCTACATGTGTATGGTTTTATTTATTTTGTAGGAATAAAATTTAACAATTTAAGACATGCCTTTATTTTTTTTTTAATCTATATATTGTCTTGCTTAACTTGGTGAACTTCTTAAAGTACATGCCTTGATAATTAAGGAGGCAGTCATTTCCTAGTGATCAGATGTGTGTCTTGGATAGAAAAGTCCATCTGATCTTGTGCTCCTTAATGTCTGTACCAATCAAATTAAAATCAGGCTTCTTAGATACAAGCATGTACCAGTCTAATGAGACTTCTTTGATCAGCACTACATATACTCTCTATAAAATCTAGTCTGATTTGAATTAGATTGTGCATTTCCTGTAAACAGGGAAAGTTTTGCCCCCGTTTTATTTTCGCCCCGTCACAAGTGGGCGAATTCAAAGAACACAGTATCAATTCTTAAACAGAACTGGGACTAGGCGAATTTAAAACGGGGCAAATTTGTAAGCAAGTGTTAAATGGCGAAAATAACCACTGTATACAGTAAATGCATTGTAATACTACAGCTACGACTGCCATTTTAAATTATTTGAAATAAATAAAATAAAAGGATCAAATAAAGTTGTTTTGCATCAACAAATAATTTAATGGTACAAAAATTGAATGATAAATCACATTCAAATTTTTAAATATTTTAAAGGTCATACTGGAGTTTATCAAGTCTCCTTTTAGAATCTTTTTTTCCCTAGAAAACATGATCAGAAATTTTACATTAATTGATATGAAATCAAAGTAATATTCATGGAATATATGTCTTTCACAATAGCACTATCTTGGCACATTAAAAGTCTTCATGTATCACTGTCCTTTAACCATGAGTACAGCAGATGGTACTAAACCTGAAATATTAATGTCTTTCATATATCTGTATGTACCAATAATTTTACACCATAAAGTTCATTTGTACAGTATACTACATATGTGTATGATACAGTGTATATATCCCCCCTTCCAAAAAAAGAAAAACCAAAACAATAAATAAAAAATACTTCTTTCATAATTTCAAAAAATGCTATTAATTTTATAGTCAGTAGATGATGCCTTAGTTAGGAATTGTAAACCTTAAAATTGGTTTAAAAAATTCAGCTGAAACTGTATATACTGAGTCCATGCCCCTTTAATGCTCATTGCCTTAAATCATTAGTATAAATAAGTGGATAACCATAATGCGATGGAACATATAAAGGTAAAACAAGAGACGTTTGTAAAACACTTATGCCCCCTCCCCAAAATTGGAATTTTTCAAAGTCCAAGGGGCATAAATCTGTCAAAAATAACGTGATCATACCCAAAACAGAATTTGACCTAGATTTTCATCTGATAAATCTGTATACCAAATTTCATTTCAGTATGTGCAACAGTTGTGAAGAATATGAACGGAAACTAAGTTGACCGACAGACAACAGCAAAGCAATATGCCCTCCCTTCTTCGAAGGGGGGCATAGAAATTGATCATAACTATCATCATAAACCTTAATTTTAACAATCTTTATAAATATTTACCTAGAACATCTAATGGTTTTTCATAATCCTCTCCTTGGAAAACCTTTTTAGGGAAGTTGGTCATTAAGGTGAAAGGTCCTGATCCATCAGTTCTGTTTGTCTCTATATATAAACGTACAGCTGCTAGTGGTTCTTTGGCGGAAAATTTCTGTGTCAGTGCCTGTCCATTTGTTAATCTAATCTGAAAGAGGAAACGATGAAGCATTTATTCTGGTACAAATTTTATACTAAAAAAAATCCTATATGTACTATTTGGGAAACCACACTTAAACCAAAATAAATTAATATAAAAAAAATTGATTTTTTCTTTTCCCCATCATTTATTCCCCCCATAAGATCCCTTTGAAACCATTAACACAAATCGATAAGAGTTAAATTTCAGAAACTCAAACACTGATATCTCAAATAACATGGATATCGGTAAGTCCTGTTGAGTTGGAAAATCCCAGCTGCTTTTTTATGTACTTTAACCTAATTATTTGGAATCAATGAGTATCTATTTTTTCCATCAAGTTCAGGATAATGAAGTTTGACTGTACATTAATGTTACACTGTTTCTCCCCATTGATTATGTACCGGTACCTGTAATCTATACTCTGTGTTAATCTTGTACTCGTTATTCATTGCGTACCTGTAATCTACACTCTGTGTTAACTCGTACTCAGTATTCATTAGGTACCTGTAATCTACACTCTCTGTTAAACTCGTACTCATTATTCATTACGTACCTGTAATCTACACTCAGTGTAATCTTTCTTCTCGGCAGCCTGTGGAGGCTGGGCAGCAGTAGGGGAGGTCACTGGATTTGGTGATGACGTCACCGCAGGCTGTCCTCCAGAACCAAACTACAACAAAGGGTCTCCTAAAATAGCTTCCCTTTACAAATACTTATGAAACTTACAAAATAAGTTAATGAACCAATAAAAAAAATAATTTTCTGAGCTTTCCAAGAAATTGTAGATTTTTTCCTTTACATGTATTAAGTGTATTTTGTGTTTCTTGTAAAGCTGATTGTCGATCATTTTGTGTGACTTATTTTTCATATATGAACCATGTAAAATAATGAATTCTGGTACTTTCACACACTCCACATACGTGCAAATTCACTTTCTTCTAGTGTATAGGTCTCAGACAGATGTAAAAATACTCTAAAATGTCTATAAATGTACATGTTTGTATAATATTTTGATAAAGCTAACAAGGAATATTACCTTTGCTGCTCTATCTCTTTTATCTTTCTCAATTTGCTCCTTTACTCTTTGCCTGAAAGAGTAATTCAGTTAATATGACATAGGTAAATAGAAACAATATCATAGTAGTTCTCTGATAGGAAAAATTCTCAAGAATGTTCTATTACTTAGAAGAACCTGTGTTTATATTAGAAAGCATTATCTACTTCACGAATAATCTTCCTTTTTCTTCTCCTTGATGGTTACATTTGGTGTCATGATATGCCTTGGAAGTGACATGTGAAAGAGCTACAGGGGAAGAACCTGGGTTGCTGTCTTTTGGGTGAAGGCCTTTCAAGGGGGGTGGGGGGGGTGGGGGGGGGGGGTGGGGGGTGGGGGTGGGGGGAGAGGGGAGAAAGAAATGTGATGGTCAAGCAGGTAGAAAACCTGATTAGTGATTGGGGGTGCAATTGGGTTTGGTCCGTCACATTTTTCTCACTTGTCAATTACATATATTATACCAGCATATAATTATTCTTAATTGAAGGTACCTTTTGGTTTTGCAAAATTATATTTCAGTATCCTAATTGTTTATTTTGGGCTATGTCTACTCTTTAAATATTATCATTACCTTGTACTACTTTGATATGACAGAAATATGGATTTTTTTCAAACTACATTCAGTTTTATTTTACTCATGATTTCAAGCAAAACATCTCCAAATACAGTAAAACTCATTTAGTACGAACACTTATATTGCGAATTCAAGGATATAGCGAAGTTATCTTGGATCCCAAGCTGTATAAATTTATCAAATTCCTTATATGGATATGACGAATTAAGGATATAGCAAAGTAATTTCAGAGGTCCCGGTGACTTCGTTATAACCAAGTTTTACTGTGCTTATCTACTCATACCTATACTTTGCATGTTAGTTACCTTGCTAGTTTTTCTTCCATTTTCTCTCTTCTCCTTTGTTCAGCAATTTTCTTCATTTCTTGCTCTTCCATTCTATTAGAAAAAATCAATTTAATTTGAATTCTTAATACTGTATTTTGCACTTTTATCTATAGTAATTGAATAAAAATCTTATATCATTTTTTTTAGTTTATGTCATTGTTCAGATATATGAACCAATACTTTTTTTAAGGATTATTTTTAGGAAGTGTATTACATATATATGAACAAACAGTTTATTTGTATATATTATATGCCTACTTTTGTTTGATGTCTATAAGTTCCTTCCCTGTTTTTCTTCTTGACTTTTCTCTTTCTAGCTGGTCTTTTTTCTCCTGCTCCTCTCTTTCCAATCTTTTCTGTTTTATTCTTTCTTGTAACCTGTAAAATTAAATGACAATTGTACATTACAGATGATGCCATTATACCATCTGAAAATTTATGCTTAATATTTTGTGTCCATTTCATCATTTACTTTTACATGTTATACAAAATCACATTACATGTACATTCAAGAAAAAATTAAAACTTTACTCATGATAATAGGAAATGTTTTCTTAGAAAACAATACTCACTTTTCCAGCTGTTCTTTCTTCTCTTCTTCAGTTAAAGGTTTGATTTCCTCTGTGGATTCTGAGAAACTGTCATGCTGTGTTCTAGCCGCATGAGCCTGGGCATCCATCTCATTCTTCAGAAGTTTTCCACATCTGTTGTTTACAGACAAAGAAAACTTGTTTCAAGTCTGTCTCTTATATTGTCATGCCTTCTTTTAAAATACTTCAATCAAATGAAAGAGAATATCAGGAAGCTTAAGTAACCATTATTTTGTCATCTTTTCATTGGCCAATTTCTTCATCTATTGGAAAATCTGACATTACATGGAAATATTTTGCGAGTGAATTTCTAATTTTACTTTTATCAATAAATTGATAACTATTTTGAATGAAATTAATTCTTGAATCTCAGTTTTATCTCATGAACATAGACATGATAGATGAATAATGAATTTTTTAATTGTTTTGTGCATCGATCAACACACATGCACATGTAAAACTTTGACATTTAACAAACTTTCAATTACTTTTTGTCAAAATTTTGCAATGCAGGTTTCTATACAATCATGTATAATAAAATCTTATATATTACAAATATATTTCATCATACTTTGATCCAAAAAAAAAGAATCAACTGAAACTTCAGGTTAGTGTAAGTAAAAATGAAAATTTCATTTAAAAAAATTTACTATTGCCACACTACATTAAACACGAAACTTACACATCACATTTGATTGACATGGCATGAACTGGTTCCCCGCCCGCATTAGCACTGGCTTCAGTTGACTCAGACTGTGAAGGCCCAGAGCTATCATCTATATATAAAAATACATGTATTTAAGTTTCATAAACCCTCTGCTTACTCATATAAAATGTTGCTTGAACCTTAATGATTTTCCAAAAGAAATGTATTTTATAAGTAAAATACAAACAATTATAGCATAGCTTGTGTGGCAAATTGGACAAAAAAAAAACACTTCAACTTGGCAAATCTATGAAGGAATAATTGACATATATCCTTAAGAGTTATCTTTCTTATCAGAATATCAGTGAACCTTAAGACTAAAGATAAGCAAAAAAAAAAACCAGTGATTTAATTCTCATGTAAGAAATATTTGTAAAATAGCATTTATAGTATGTCTTAATTAGAGATGACTTGCCTGGCTTTCCTAAAACATTTCCTTGAGGTGGAGGTGGTGCATCAAATGGTTCATCAATATCAGGATCGTCTTCGTGTGCAAACAGCCTAGAATGAAATTATTACCAAAGCTAAATAGAAACTCTCACATGCAAAGAGGGCACTTTTTTTGGACTCTTGCAATTTTACAGGTTGAGAAGAATATATAATTTCAGAGTGAATGTTTTTAAATGAAATATTGCAATTGTTTTATATCTATGTACCGGGGTATGTCTCATATTGTCTGAACTGCTATTCCCTAAAAATTGAACCCCAACAAAATGTAATGATTTTCCCCATGTCAATACTATTGATGACATGTAAATTATTTCATGCAGACAATGCAACAGTTTACAACTAAAAGAAGCCCCTCTCCACCCAAAAAACTCTTTCTCCTCAGTTCCAAAATACATTTCAGCTATTTTTGCCATCAAAAATATCCCAAACTCAGTATTTTGATGCAGATTAAATATCATGACAATGGCTATAAGTATAAACCAATGACATTGCTTATATCAGTACATGTAATGCTAATCATTTGTTTTAATGGTTTGGGCAGTGTAAATTAGCTGGATAACTTAGTAGGTAGAGCACCTGACAAGTGATGCAGGATTCTGAACAGGGTTTGATTCCCAGTCCAACAATACATTTTCTCCTTGCCTCTTAAAGATTTGGTAAAGTTGATCACCCTGGGACATCAGCATGGATAACTATGTAGCCTATATTGGGTAGAGCACCTGATTAGTGTACTCCAGCATGCTAGAGGTTAACGGATAGATACTTTTGACTTGGTGCCACGTAACGAGGCATATAAGGAGCATAGAGACTTTAACCGAGGCTCTTACTTGTAGGAGTTTTGACTAGTGATGCAGGGGTCTGGGTTTGATTCCCAGTCCAAACTTACATGAAATAATACTTACCAATCCATGGCCAGCTGAACACCTTTGAAACCACTCTTTGCCAAAGCCTTTTCACTACAAAAATCAAACTATATTTTAGTCCCATTTCAATTTTCGATAAAAGACCTACAGTGGAGTCGCCAATTCCGGGTCGTCTCCTATTCCGGGTCACTCGCGTGTATTTTGTGCCTAGTGTTAAAATTTAAGCGCAAAAAACTTAATGAATACGCTGGTCGTGAAGAACTGGTCTTTCTGTTTGTAGTTAATTATAAAATTTTGAATATCAACTTTAAGAGAGCATCCCACAATCGAAATTCTGAAACGCACTCATTAAAGACTTGGATGTGTCTGCTGCGGTGACGGGCTACTTTCGTTTTTGTTCACTGCAGAAAGGCTGATATAAAAGTTCTAGATAAATAATAAGAGCTCGAAAGTATGACAAATGCATTTAGTTTTAACTCAGAAATCAATCATAATGATCGCTGCTCAAATAAAATTATAATGATTGTTAAATCGAATTGTAGTAGTTTCTCCAATTGCGGGTCACTCAATCTCGTGGCACGAACATCTCAAAACCATGATTTTCAAAAGTATTCTAACTGGAAAATATTTTTTCTAAAAACTAAAATCGAGTTAACCCTTCAAATGCATCTTTTAAATAAATGAATTTACTTGTATTTATTTTTAATCCTAATACATTTTTTACATTCTGCATACTGCAATTTGTTTTGTTGTAATTGTTTTAAAAATAATTTAAACAAATTTCTGTGATTGTTTTACTTTTTTCCAAGCTGCATGAATTGTTTTATGTTTCAACATCAGAAAAATCGCGTTCCGAAACATTCCATGAATATTACACGACCGTGAAGTCACATGACCCGGAAATGGAGAAAATGATTTGTAACTGGGGAAGCTAGGCCTTGCTGAAATACCCCTGTAAATATAGTTCCCGTGTAGCTACTTTGAAAAGGAAAAGGTGTTTGGATGACTCACTATTTGTTCTTTCAATACATATATGGCATAAAATATAAACTGAACAGATTTGCAAAATATCAACGAAACACCCTGACGTGACCCGGAATAGGCGACTTCACTGTACCTTTGTATAATTTTTTGTTTACAAAATTTTCGATGAACATGACAATGGTCAACAAGTACATGTATTCAGCATTGCATGTCCATCAACTATCAATAAGTTTAATCATCATGATTAGGCCTATCCGACTATATATAACAGACTAAAGAAATTTGAAAGTCATTGAAACGAATTCTGCCAATCAGCAGATCACTTTTGCTTCCAATCACTCAAAAAAATTTATACAAAGCTTACTGAGCAAAAACAAAATAAGTAAAACTTATTTTTAATCAGTTGATGTTGATGATCATCCAGGCTTATTTTTTGAAAATTTTACTTTCACTACGAGTTTCAAATATCATTTACTTACGCTCTATTTTTTGAAAATCCCATTTCCATTAATGTCTGCACATCTGACGACATTTTATTCAGTGCAATATGATTAACTGAAAAAGTAGACCCCAAAAATTGAAAGACTGTTTGAACCGTGAAGCAACCGACTAATGACAGTGCAAATTCGAAATGAAACTGCTTCGGCTAATGACAGTAAAACAAGAGGCAACAACTTCCAAAATTTACAGAAAAAATAACAATATTTTTCGAATTTACTTCAGTCAAAACACTTATTTTTGTTGTAATGAAATTTATTATGCATAAAAAAAAAAAAACCAAATATTAATGAGTAAAAAAAGAAAGAAAATATTTTTAAAGAAAAATTTTACATTGTGTACTTCAAACCCGATGTAATTTTTCCCAAATGATTTGGTTGCGCTTTGCAATATTTTAACTTTAAATTATTTAGTATTTTTCTGGGAGATGTGAAATATTCAACAGATTTTAATTTTTTTTTTTTTTTTTTTTTTGTATAATCATGAAGTAAAAAAAAAACAAAAAAACAAACACTAACTCAAAACTACGGAAGCCCTGGAGGGACATTGACTTACTTGTTATGACTTATTTGTTATAACTTTTTTGTTTTGACTTATTTGTTGTGAATGTTTCGTAGCTAGAGATAACTAAGGCTATTGAAACCTGTTGCTTGGCTTACTTTTATAATAAAAATAATGTTTAGTCCTATTTTAACTGTGGTTTTGATTGATGAATAGTAGTTTAACGTCCAGATCAGTTGTTATTTCTAAAGTAAATATTATTTTTGTTGTTATAACTTAATTCATATTTCCTACGAGTAATTATTTAATTCTTATATGTAACTTCCAGTTTGCATAATGATTGAAGAAAAGAACATGGCTATTATTTTATCTTGTCGTTAGTAATAATTTCAAGGACATTTTTTTTTTCTTTTTTTCTGAAACTATACGTTGCCTCCATCTTTCACGCCACTTTTTGTGAAGTAAACTTGTCATAATAAATTTAAAATAACAAGAATTCAAAGTTAAGTCATAAGAACTAAGTCTAAACACATAAGAAATAAGTCAAAACACACAAGAAATAAGTCAATATCACTCAAGGGCGTCTGTAATTAACAGATAAAATTTTAGTAATCACATCAGTTTTGTACGTTTAACTACAAAACTACAATTAATCGTTCTCAATAGCTTATCTACAGTTAGTTAGAACTAACAAAAAAAAAATCTCAAAACGAATAAGTCAAACCCAATAAGTTATAACAAATAAGTCATAACAAGTAAGTCAATGTCCCTCCAGGGCTTCCGTACAAAACTAACCGACATGCAAAAAAAAAATAAAAATCAATAATTATCGAATTAACAACATCGAAATCAAAATAGCCGAAGAGATGGTTTTTCTGCCAGTTTACAAGAAATGGCGCCACTAAGTTACATGGGTGTACAATCCGAATGGGGCGATTACAAATTTATCTTTTGCTATTGAAAGGGTGTAGGCACTTGCCAAATATAGTCTGCAAGATCTAACAGCTTACCAAAGCATTGACAATGAACATTTTCAAAATTCTGTAATTAATCCCATCTACATCAGACTGAAAGCAAACGAAGCCAGCACTTTTTTCAAACAGATGTTTTAAATATACCCCCCCTCCTTTAATTTTTTTAGCTTTTACATTTTTGAAAATGTTCATTGTCAATGCTTTGGCAAGTGGCTACACCCTTTCAATAGCAAAAGATAAAGAGTGACAGCCAATGAAATAAAGTGTTAGAAAAGAGAATAATGCATGTATAATGTAGAACTAAAAGTAATTTATAGTTCGAGGTAAAGAATCTTCATCTTTGAATATCCTTTAACAGTGTATAACACTGTTCAAATCCTCTTGCATTTTACCGCCTACATAAAGTCGTTTTCAACCATGTTTGCCGGGCCATTGTCCTTTCGTCAACCTGAAAAGGACACAAAAATTTAAAATGGCAACATGTTCAATGAAATCTTATCAGGAAAATGTACCCCTTAAACAAAGAACGTATAATTATCAGTGGTTCCTAGCCAAATTTCTAGTTGAAACATTTTGGATCTTTGAACACCTTTTTCTTATTTTTCTTTCCTCCTTCTTTATTTTTGATTTTAAAAAGGTATAGAATGTGCCGTAGAGAATTTTTTTTAACAGCTTACACGCCTGGATCATGGAATAAAACTAATTAGCAAGTTTTATTATAATCATAAATACTGGTCAATCCATTTAACCGCGGAAACACGTTTATAAATTCTATGACTACAATTTTTTTTTTTATTTTCTCTACTCAATTTTAAAAAAAAGCAATTTGCGAACTTAAGTCAAACTTAAAATCCATCATACCTGCTGAGATTCAAAAAGCAAACTGAATAACGAGATTGATGTCATTAATATTTGAATTGAAATTCTAGAAAGTGAAAAAATAAATCGTGATTCTTTTTTAAAATATATGCGTTTGTTTGAAAACTTAAATCTTCAAAAAATCCACCAACAACGCCACATTGTTTAATGGAGCGTAATAAAATTGCTATGAAGTGTCAATTGGATGTTTGATTTCAATAAAATCAATACTAATTTGCATATCAACGAAACAAATAAGCCATGCTTCAATACCACTGACGATACTGACCAATCGTACTATAAATGATCATAAGAGTATGTAGTAAACAACAATTACATTTGGACGGACGACGAAATTTCTCTTCCTAGATTTAAGAGTGATGATATCAATACTTATATGTGGTATACAGACCTGAGTCAAATTTAACAATTTTACAAATGTATTCAACAATAAAAAGGTGATTAAAATTTTGGGGGGAAAATCTAATTGGAAAAACACTGGTTTTTACTGAGTCATTCCATTATAATTACTTGTTTCCAGTCCTTTTGATTGATATCAATAAACTATGTTCAAGAAAACAAACAAACTTGTAATTGAAAAATGGTCCATTGAATATAACATCCCATTATTGTGAAGAAATGTAATGATTACAATGCATTACCATTATACATAACCCTGACTCCAAGGTCTGCATTTTCTGATAGTATTATATATATAGAAGAATGCTTAATTTTCTTACATACGTATCAACTTCAGACGGTCAAATAACAACAAATATGGAAAATTCTTTTTGTAGGACAGAAAACGGGACTGCAAATGCAACACTGGCCAAGAGTCATTGGCCAGTATTATCGAGAATTGTTGGATTCTGTCTTTCATATGCAAAGTAGTATGTCATCGAAATCAGACATCCAATCACTGAATAATATGGTAATCAGTTTGTGAAATTTTACAACGGTCGACGAAGCAAAATTGTATGATGTTATTGGAATGAAAGTAAAGTTTTTCCATGTTGAATTAATGAACGTTAGGAATATTTATGAAATAAATTTTAAAATATCAACAGATAATAATCGGTAAACAATTCGAATTTTCTAAACAAAACAATATTTTAAAAAAATCAATATGAAAAAAAGAAAGACGTTTTTTACATTCTAGGTAAAATTGGTTTTGAATAGATTTTAAACTAAATGTTTAATTCGAAAATGCTAAATAATTTTAAATTTGATGTGTTAAATACTACAAAAACAATGTACTACAATGTTCATCATTGATTTTCTGAATATGTAGATTAAGAACTCAAAGAAATGCAAAAAAAAATAGTTCTCAAGCACTGAAATTTTAAAATACGAGGGGTTATCAAAAAGTTCGTGGACTGAGGCTATAAAATTAGTACTATGTAGTCTGTGCTTTCAAAATTTATATGGAACATAAAACAACACAAAATAGAGGAATGTTGAAAATTTCAGCCTGATACGTTCATTATTTGCCAAATTATCATAAAATGAAAACGACATTATATGATCACCCGGCGCTGTCGTCGTTTATTTTCCTGACGTCCGATAACGTCATTGTTTTTTCAATGTCATCTTCTACCTCATACACTTTTTTGATGAGATTTCCTGGAGCTGAGTAAGGACTTAAACCCGCTTTGTTTTTATGACTTTACAATGTCATTAACAGTGGCCTTCAATGAATATAATATTCCAGATGGATTTATACAATGGGAGAGATCCGCGCTTGATATTGTGCCGGCATATTTTGCTTTTGGGAGTTCAATATCTACAACACATGATAAACGTCATTTTTACGGGGTGATTTTTCACACCTTGACTGCAAATCGACATTAACTGTGTATCCCTTTACTCTCTGAATCTATTTTGACATTAAAAGACAAGTACTCTGGATGCATATTATTTCTCTGTAGCCAGTTTCAACATATTTTAGGTCTATACTATTTTTTTCAGGGGCAAAACTTTATATAATGTTGGAAACGGAAACCCCTCCCCCCTTTTGACGTCATTTTCAAGGCGTCATTTGTTTAGACATTCCGTGTAAAATTTATGATAAAATTTCATAGAAATTCGAGAATTAAGTGAAAATTTCATATTCTATAGAACAATTGTGTCCCGATACATACCTGAATTAACGGGATTTTTGGATGTCAAATAATCATATTAAAATGAGTTTTTCTCAGTTACACATAGGTCGAAAAAACGTCGTTTTCGAGGTTGCGCCGCTTGGACATACCATTGCTTACAAAAACATTACTAATTTATTAAAAAATAAAATTCATGATTTGTGGTTTATTCTCTGGATAAAAAAGATGATGCTTACTAGATATTTCAAAATTCATTGATGTACTTTGAGCGGTTTTAATTTTATGACGCTAGTCCACGAACTTTTTGATAACCCCTCGTACATTTTTTTTTACATTAAAAACACGAAATTAATTTTTGTTCTTTAAGTTTAGAATTTTGAACAGAAATAATCAACTTCTAAAAGTTTGAATTATTTTTAAAATTTGAATAATGCAAATAAAAATCTGAATTAATCATTATATTCATGAAAAGTTTTATGAGGCAATGCAAGAGTATGCAGGCAGAATTTTTGCTTATTTAATTTGCAAATCTAGGGATTTTTTTTCGCATTCAAATTCATGCAAAATGTGCCAAAAACTATGTATTGCATTTGGAAATACATATAAATCCAATTCATAGATTAAAATGTTTATAGTGCATCGTTTAAAGATTTTTTAAAAGAACAATTACTTTTGTTATCTTTGCCTTTTTTTTATTCTCATTAAAATCAATCT